AAGTATTTTTATCAATATACGAAGTAGATTTTTTTTAAAAGATACAGTGTTTATAATTTTACTGTTATAAATTAGAAGCCCCAAATTATATACTGGAAAAATTTGGTGAAGTTTAGTCACGATTCTAAAAAGTTTTATTAGTGGCGAATTTTTGCTGTCTATGTAAAATTTTAATATACCACATAGATCATATGAAAAATGATCTATGGACACTCTACCCTTAAATTAATTCGAATAAATTATTTGATTTTTAAATTGCTAATTTTAGATAAAATTTTGAATTGATTAATGAAAAAATAAAAAGTAATAATCTAAAATTTTAAATGTTAAGTTCAAATAAATTAAAGATATTAATAAATCTTACTAATTAAATCAATATAAACAAAAAGAAAAAGGTTAGAATAAAAAACAAATATACTTACCAATATAAAAAGCTATGTAGTGTTCAGATTAAAGGAACACTAATATAAAATTCTTTAAGCTAAACTATTGACAAAATTTATTTTGTATTTATTTTAAAAGCATTATTCTTTATACATATAATCACCAAAATTGGCACTGTCCTCCATAATTTTTCGTGCATCTTCAAGTAATATACCTTCTCTATCTTGAGCAATTAAACGTAATGCAGTTTCAGAAACTAGAACTTCTTGCAAATAATACATAGGATTTTTAGAACAAGTAATATCAGATATTAAAATATTAGAGTAAAAGAATAATTTGATAAGTGTATCACAGATAATATTTAATTTGCGTAAACCATAATATCCAGGCTATAAAATAATAAATATTAATAATTATATTATTAAAATAATAAAGAAGTATATGTAACCTACCCTTAATAATTCAAATGGACTCATGAGTACCATTGGTGTATTTGCTTTTCTTATTCCTACTTCTTTACAAACTTCTACGGCCAGATTATAATAATAACTATTTACTTCTCTATTAATAACTTTAAGAAGATCTTCTTTCATTTGAGTAATTCAGTTTTTTAATAATATAAAATTAATTTTTGTAGGATAGCTATTTTTAATACCACTAGGAACAATAGTAGTTTCTGCATAATGAATTTCACAAAATGATAATTGGTCTTCTTCTATAGGCTTTCCTAAAAATAAATAAAAATATAAAAAATCTTAGTGATTAAAAAAAAATACTAATTTAAAAACAATTTTATAAAAAGTAATAGATATACCATTTTGTTTTGCTATTTTTTGTAATAATAAACATATCTTTCTTGGTAAAGGATCTGGCAATACTTCAGCACAAAATGGTCATTTGTTTTCTATATAAAATATAAAATATATTAATAAATATATAAAACAATTAATTATAAACACTATTTTACCTTTATTAGATTCAGAACTAGTCTGATTCTCTTCTTCGAATATTTGATTGTCTATAGAAGGTTGATTATAATCTTCAACTTTAGATTTTTTGTGTTTTTTAGATTTATTATTATTTTCTAATTCTCTTTTGATTCTTTTTTGAGATACTCGTCCTATATAAATTTTAAAATTAGTAATTAGTTTACTATATAAATATATAAATATATATTATTTCACCAATAATTACTTCAATAATGGCTTAGTTTATTAACAATTCACCAACAAGTTTATTTTTATATTTGTTTTAATAATTCGGGTTTATCACATGAATTTTGTGATATTTTAGAATTCAATCCAATTAAAATTTAATAAATTCTAAAATATCACAAAATTCACGTGATAAACCCGAATTATTAAAACCGGTTCCAACCTCTATGTTTTACTAATACAGTAATAAGATCATTTTGACTAACAGCTTATTTCACTGACAAGTTTTTTTTTACAAATTGTGATAACTTTAATTCTAATCTTATTCTAATAGCAATAACTAGAATTAATTTGTCTTTAAAATAAGCTATTGGTGAAATATATTGTCAGTAAAATAAACTTGTCAATAAAATAGATGCCAGTAAAATAAACTTATTAATAAATTGTTGTTAGCGAACTAAGCTGTCTGTTGGTAAATTGATCAGAGCTAAAAATATATATATAGAATTAAAAAATATTAATTACCTTTTTGTTTTACACTTATTGGATTTATTATTTCATTAGACAAGGATGCTTGTTCAGAAGTATTTACGGTCAATTCTTTTTGAACTAACTTATTAAAAGAATTATAGAAGGTTTTGCTATTTCAGGTTTTGTTTTTACAATTTGTCGAACTTTATACTATGCTCTATTTAAAAAATATTTATATTCAGTATAATCATCTTCTAAAAGATCGTTTTTAGCTTGGTTTGATTCAATATTAGTTACACTATAAAATGTTCTATAAGTTTTTGCTATAGTATATTCATTAGGATCTTTACGCCATCTTAAAAGAAATAATTCTGAGTTAATTTCTTCTAGATTAAGTTGAGAAATTACTCTAAAAATATGGTGACATATAATGCCAGAAAAGTTAAAATAATAGCATGAACATTGAAAATATTGAGTTGTTAAATTATATTTAACAATTCTGACTAATGTTTGACTTTGAAAGCATTCTATACAGAATTTTGTCTCATTTTCAAAATTGGTTCTAATTTAAATAAATAATTTAAAATTAAATTAACTTTTACCCGATTTTTTGACATTTATATATTGAACTTTCTAAAAGTTGTATTTGAGTTTTTTTTAATGTATATTGAGTTAAAAGTTGCATAGCCTGTTTTTCGACAGGACTTTTTGTTACTAATTGTACACTTATTGCAGATTCACGATATTTTAAAAATTCTAAATCCTCTTTTCTTTGATCAAGTGCAGATTCAAAAGCCTTTAAAAACATTGATAAAGAAGTCGTAGCATCCATATAGCCTTTTATTAAATTATTCATCGATTCACCTCTTTGTGTTGTAGTTATATTAGCTATAAATATTTTCTGATTATAACAAGGAGCCCAAAATTGTAAATTTTTATCTATTTTTGTTAAATATTTAGTTGCATTAGAATAATTTATTTTTAAACGTACCTATTTTTTAATAAAATCCTCCTCTAAACATTTATAAAAATCTTTAATAAATTTTGCCCATGATGATTCTAACGTTCTATTTAAATTTTTCATAACATTTTTAAGTAAATGCCATAAACATAATACATGTTTTGTTCCATATGGCTGAAAATTTTGAGCAACAGCTCTTATTATTGCTTGATCTTCATCTGTAAAAAGAGCTTTTGGCGCATGATTGTTTATCATTTTTAAAAAATTGCTAAATACCCAATTAAAACTTTTAATCGTCTCATCATGCATAATTGTATCAGCAAAACAAACACTTTGACTATAATTGTTAACTCCTATAAAAATTCCAAGTGGCATACCAAATCTATTCGTTTTATAAATATTATTAAATATTACTACATCATAAAATCAACAATAATTTAAAGGTAGAGTATAGGTCAATCATTTATTATATGATCTCCATGGTATAACGGGATTTTATGCATAAAGTAAAATACGTCACTAGTAAAAATTCTCAAAGCTATGGCTAAATTTTACCAAAATTTGGTAATCTACAGTTCAAACCTTCTATTTATAGTAGTAAAACTTTTGAGAGCTATATTATTTTTAAAAAATGAACATATATATATCATAAAGTTTCTGGGAATTTCTCACATTTTCTAGAGTTACACAAAAAAAACATAGTAAAAATATTTCTAAAACAGGTAATTACCCAATTAGATTTGTGTTTACTATGTAATCTGTTATACAAAAAAAAATTGCTATGCATATCATATGATAAATGATCTACGTATACTCTACCCTTAATTGTTGTTCTGAAAATATTCAAATAGCATGCTGAAATTCATTAGTTGTTGAATCAACTTTAATTTTAAATAATAAGTTTTCATTTTCAGCTTTAATGTTTTTTAACTCTCTTACAAAGTTACTAGCATCAAGATAATATTTTTCTGCAACTTCTTCTTGCTGGTAAACAAAATTATATAAATCATTGTATACCCAAGTAACAACACCATTAAACTCCTCTTTTAAAATAGCATGAATAGTTGGAATATTACATCCTGCATAACATAAAAGCTTGATTTTTTCTTGAACTTCAGTAAGAATTATTTGCTCATTTAGTATAAAGTGTTGATGATTAGATAAAATCATAGAATGACTATATTTCAAGTATACTAAAATTATATACTACAATCCAGTTTGAGAATTTAAAGAAACACAAACCATAAATTTACAATTACAACGTTGTGATGGTCAATTTCTAATATTTTTGCTTAAATTTTTAACAGGGCTTCCTTCTCTACTACATAATATTGTTCGTTTACGTATATCTCCATTAGAATTTGTTTCTATTTTACCTAATCTAATTTGAAATCTTTGTTGTTTAGCATAGTTGGTAACTGCTTCTACAAAACTATTATATGAGTCATAGGAATTGCTCTTTTTAAGTTCAATATCGAGTTCACAGTTCATTTTTAAAAATTGTATTATTATTGTAACAGTAAACAACAATTGTTTATTGTTATTGTTATTAATTATCAACCAATCAAATTAGGAGATCTATGATAAAAATGTAGACCCCCTGGTCTACGTTAAGATTTGTCCGCACCAAAATTCTACAGACACGTGATATTTTTGTGTCGCAAACCAATCAGATTTCAAGATCAGGTGTAATATAACACAATCAGGAAAATTCAAAACAAATGTTCGTTTTGTCAAAAATCACTTATAACTCAAAAATCTGCATAGGAAACCACCTTTTATGCATTAACAAAAATTTTCTTAAAGGATTTTACTATTAGAATACTAAAATTATAACCTTAATATAGACTCTAACCCTATCTCAAATGAACTTAAAGATTTTTTGACGCAATCACATGTTAGTAGAATTTTGGTGGCAATATTGGAGGCAATTTTTGAATCTGTGCCCGGTTATGCATGATGCCGATCACCATGTAAAATTCTTTAAAGTTCATTAATGTTAAGGTTAGCATTTTGTATAAAGTTAAAAGCTAAGTGGTTTTATAGTAAAATCGCACAAGGAAAACTTTTTGTTAGTGCACTAAAGGCGGTTTACTATACAGATTTTTGAGAAAGAAGCGATTTTTGGCAAAACGAACGTTTGTTTTGATTGTGCTATGTTACACCTGATTCTCAAATCTGATTTGTAGATCATGCATAATCATGCATAACCGGGCACAGATTCAAAAATTGCTTTTGACCGGCACCCGTAAACTATACATACTCGAAATTTTCATAAATTTTGGTGACTTTTTATTAATTGATATTTATTAAAAATGGTTATGCTTTGTAATACAACGTATTTTATAAATATCAATTAATAAAAAGTTAACTGATTATAACAAGTTTTCTTAATTGTTTAAGGTTGACTTACATAGAAAATATTTGTAAATAATATGAATATTCATTTCGTGTAAGCTTTAAATTAGTTATATTTCGTGATCTAATAATCAGAATTTTTTTGATGGGAGGAATCAAATGTTCGATAGATCACGTATGCGTCATAATTGGTCCATGTTTCGTAATTTCTTCTTTTGAAATATTTATATTATATCATAATCCAGAGATAAAATTAAAGGTACTAATTGATTCGTCACATCGAGACGTACTGTACCAAGATTGTTCGATTGATCGATCGATATATCTCACGATATCAGCTGTTAAACTTACCTGTGTCATAATACAGTACCCCCGATCAGTTTATAATACAGTTTGAAAATTAACAAATTCTTTCTTTTATCGATTAATAAAGCGTACAATTTTTACAAAATTTTAAAATTACTATTTTCGGTTAATCTGACTGATTATTCGAGACTCGTGTAACCAGCTGCCAATTAAAATAAATTTCCATCAAATGACATTCACCATTGTACTGTATTGGTACGTACGTACGTATTTGATTTAGATACGTTTCACGGCATTTTACATTGGTTACGTATATAACGGAGGTTAATCCGTTGTTTTTTCCGTTACTGTATACGTACGTACGTACGTACTAAATTCATAGTTCTTTCAAAATGATAATGTTACCAAATGAATGTCTTTTTGAAATCTTTAATAATTTTCGAACCAATTATAAAACCTTATTTTCGTGCCTTCTTGTAAACCGTCAATGGTGTAAACTTATTATACCAATATTATGGAGTGAACCCACCAATTATTTCAGTGATAAAAGACTTATAAAAATATATCTTTTAGCTTTAAATGATGAAGAGAAAGAACTATTGACCTCCTTTAAAATTATTCTTCAAAATTATTCAAAACCATTATTTGAGTACGCAAGTTATACTACATCTGTTGGTTTTCTGTTGACCAATGGAATCAATAATTGGCTTCAAGATGAAGGATATAATGTAAATGATTTTGAAAAAAAGAAACTTGAAATTGTTATTGAATGTTTTTTGGTTTTGATGTTTTTGCGAGTAAGCAAAAATCTTAGATATTTAAAACTCAAAATTTACAAGAATACTACTCAGTATCCTTTGAATTATCAATATAATAAATTTGAAAATGCATTAATTGATGCACTTTGCAAGAATACTACGCTGACTTCTTTGAATCTTAGCTATAATGATCTTGGTTCATACGTCAGAAAAGCATTAATAGACTCACTTTACAAGATCACTTCGCTGAAAGATTTGAATCTTGTAAATAATAATCTTAGATCAGAAGGAGGAAAGGCGATAGCAGATGTACTTTGTAAGAACGCCACGCTAACTTCTTTAAACCTTAGTTGTAATTATCTTGAATCAGACGTCGGAAAAGCATTAGCAGATGCACTTTGCAAGAACACTACGCTAAAAGATTTGGATCTTAGTGGTAATATTCTTGGATCACGTGGAGGAAAATCACTAGCAGATGTACTTTGCAAAAACACCACGTTAACTTCTTTGAACCTTAGTTATAATGATCTTGAATTAGATGTCGGAAAGGCATTAGCAGATGCACTTCGCAAGAACACTATGCTGAATGATTTGAATCTTAGTCACAATAATCTTGGATCAGGAGGAGGAAAACCATTAGTAGATGCGCTTTGCGAAAACTCTATACTGACTTCTTTGAATCTTGGTTATAATAATCTTGAATCAGACGTCGGAAAAGCATTAGCAAATGCACTTTGCAAGAACACTACGCTAAAAAGTTTGAATCTTAGTTATAATAATCTTGGATCAGAAGGAGGAGAAGCATTAGCAGATGCGCTTCACAAGAATACTATGCTGAAAGATTTGACTCTTACTAGTAATAGTCTTGGATCAGGAAGAGGAAAAGCATTAGCAGATGCACTTCACAAGAACACTACGCTGAATAATTTGGATCTTAGTAGTAATAATCTTGGATCAGGAGGAGGAAAAGCATTAGTAGATGCACTTTGCGAAAACTCCACGCTGACTTCTTTGAATCTTGGTTATAATGGTCTTGAATCAGACGTCGGAAAAGCATTTGGTGATGCACTTTATAAGAACATTACGTTGAAATGTTTAAAACTTTATGGCAATAATCTTGGATCAGAAGGAGGAAAAGCATTAGTAGATGCACTTCACAAGAATTCTATTCTGAAAAAGTTGAATCTTGATTATAATAATCTTGGATCTGAAGGAGGAAAAGCATTAGCAGATGCACTTCACAAGAATACTATGCTGAAAAATTTGTCTCTTATCAATAATAATCTTGGATCAGAAGGTGGAAAAGCGTTAGCAGATGCGCTTTGCAAGAACACCGCCCTAACTTCTTTAGATCTTGAAGATAATAATCTTGGATCAGAAGGTGGAAAAGCGTTAGTAGATGCACTTTACAAGAACACCACCCTAACTTCTTTAGATCTTGAATATAATAATCTTGGATCAGAAGTAGGAAAAGCGCTAGAAGATGTACTTTATATTAACAATACCCTGAATGAATTGTATATTTATGATAACGGAATTGGTTTCAAAGTAGCACCTAATAATCCAATTATTAAAATATATCAATGAACTGTTCAGCGTGCATTTTGATTGACTAAAAAGGAGGGTAGATAAGGCCGGTGATGAATAGGCAATTGATAGTATTGTATTAATTATGCGGTACATAGTAAATTTAATAATTGGCTAAGGTTTTCAGTAATAACAATCTTTATAATACAGTAATGAGAATACAGTAATGAGGAAGGACGGGTGATAAAGATTTTGTAGATGAAGAATGCTCATGCCAAATAAAATTTTTTTGTGAGGGTGACCAGGAGGTAAAGAAGTGGTGATTGGATTCTGTACAATTGTGTAATATAAAACTGGCATTATTGTTACATGAATTTTATTCACACTTTAATGATAATATACTAGCCTCTGGTGATTTTTTATTTAGCTGGTAGTCATTCTTGAAGTAAAATCATGGTTTATATACACTAATATTAATTGTTTACAAATTAGCAAAAATGTCTTTTTTTCTTAAAGACTGATTAATGATGTTTTTTGAATTTTGGATTTAGTTCTTGAATATAATCTAGAAGCATATAATTTATATTTACTAATATATTTTTCAACGCTATATGCATGTAAATTTTGTGCCATGTTTACTTAGGTAAAGATAGGTTATCTCAGTGAAATATAGATTAATTACAGTAAAAAAATTTTAACCAGGTTTTTTTGTTGTACTAAGATAGCTTATTTTTGCCTTCTAAGCAAACTTGTTCGATGTAAAAGTTTTCATATAATGCATTTTTAACTAACCCAACCGAGACAGGTTTTGACTGCCGTTTTTTGTATTTTTCAGGTTTTCGTTTTTATTTCTTGTTTTGCTTCATCAAAATTCTATAATTTGATTGGTCAGATATTACGTGATACTGCTTCGCTTTAGAAGCTTACATAAGTGTCGCTCCAAAAAATGGTAGCCAGATTTTTTATTTGCTTACATCGATCTCGAAATCTGATTGTCGGTAAAGTTGTGTTTATCATGCTTAAAAATAACATTTCGTTTTGATTTTCGCTTTGTAAGTTCTTTATAAATAACTATCATTACATAGTGATACTCATAATTTTGTTTAGTTCCTGTTGTTAAGTAGAATGATAATTGCAAAGGCATTCGCACAATATTGAAAAATTATTATTAAAGAACTTGAAACACGAGCATTTTGGCCGGAAATTAGTGAAATAAAAATTCAGAAATTCAGCATTGGATAATATATTTAAGCTAAATATTATTTTAAGGAAACGGCTAGTCAGTTCTCAGAATTGATTCTGGTTTACTCCGAGTGATTTTGAATATTGTTTTATTTCACGGAATAAGCGTCGAACGATCACAAGAAAAGTTTGTAAGAATTGTCGCATTTGAGGGAACTAGTCCTACTCCAGTTCATTTCGCAATTAAGGTTTGTCAGAAGTTATCTACTAAAAATTTTGATTTTTCTTTATTCTTATTTGAATTTATTTTGATAGCTTTCCAACGCAAATGCTGCGGATGGCCTATATAACGCTATACTGGAGGCAGTTCCCAAATCCAAAAATTGAAGTTATTTTAAATTTCCAAAATTTAAGCTTAGTTTTAATATTTTACGAAATGTAAAAAATAATATATATATATCAATAAAATTCTGCATCATTATCGCACTTTTCATATGAAAATTTTTAAGGTTTTTTAAATTTACAATTTTTTGGTAAATAAATTAATTCCTCGCCTATAAATAAAATTTTTTTTTGATATTGCATATAATAATACACAAAACTAATTTATTGGTATAGTTGAATAGCGATAGGAACCTTTGAATCAAAATAATATAAATTGAATAATGTAAATTGTTTTTTATTATATAGAAAAAATAAAATTATAGCGTCTTTAAAATTATATTTGATAATAAAAAAATTTATTTTATTATAATAAATTACAATACAAGATATAGATTACTATGTTTTTTAAATTATTGTAATTATATATAATTTAAATTTACTATTGTTTTTATAAATTATTATTTAAAATAAGGATTAATATATTTATAGCCGTGGGCCACCGCAGCCGTAACTAAAATAACCCTTTTTTATTAGCTAGGGTTAGGGTGAGGTGAAGATAGTATGCGGGTGAAAAGGTGTGTTTTATAGTAAAATTTAGCAAGAAATTTTTTTGTTAGAACCTAAAGTGCAGTTTTATATACTCAATTTTGAGTTATAACCGATTTTTGACAATTTTTGACAAAACGAACGTTAATTTTCCTGATCTTTAAATTTGATTGGCTTTTACTGATGCGGTTACAGTAACCATGGCTACAAATATATTACTCTGTAAAATAAAATACTAATTTTTATAATAGTAAATTAGATCAAAATATATAGAACTGTTTCTAATAGTTGCACCCAAAAATTAGGATATATTTCAAAAAATACTTTATATTTAAGTCTAATTTAAACCTAATCTAAAACTAATTAAATCATAATTTAAATTTAATTTAATAATATTTATAATAATTTTTGATTAAATAATAATATCTCAAGATCTAGTAATCCAATTTTAATACTTTTAATACTATTAGAATATTTTTATTAAAGAATTAGGTTAATATAAGAATTAAATTAGACTTAAATTTAGATCAAATTAGATATAAATTAAATTTTATATTTAGATATATTTATTTTTTAAAATATATTTTAAATTTTATTTTATGAAAAATTATTTTTATATTTTAATTTAATACAGTATATAATATTTATTAATATTTATAATAGCTAATGCTAATTTTGGCTAATATTAAAGATCAAGTAATATTTTGGACTAAAAATTGTATTAAACATTTAAACAAATATTTATTCTGTTATAAATTACTTATTGCTCAAAAATTTGTATAAAAGCAGTTTTTGATATTTTAATAAATGCTTTTCTTGAGCAATTTTACTAATATATCTACTAATATCTAATTATATTATGATTACTAACTCTATATAATTAATAAAGAAATTTTAAGTTTATTTATATTAGAATCAATATCTAGTTTAGAGTTAAAATTTAAAAAGTTATATAATAAAATTTGTTAAAAATTTCTTTATTGTATACAAAATATAGTTCTTATACAAAATTTTGAGAAATAAGTTTGTTTTAAAATTTTTAATCTGTAATTCAAAACATTATACGTATAATCTTTAGCATTAGCTAAAATCAGTATTAACCATTATAATATTTTATATTATATAGTCAGTTGGCTAATTAGATAAAATAAAAGTTTTAATTTATTTATTTAAATTTTTATCCCTTACACCGTCTTACAGGCAAATTTGCCTGGAAATTTCATGTTAATCTGTGATCAAGCTATCAAATTATATTGGAATGTAGTCTAATTGCAGTAGATTCGTAGTTAAATTGACGGTGTAAGGGATAATCTTAAGGAATAATACAGTATTTTAATAATATCTTTTTTAATATTTTGAAGTGATCGTCGATTATGTACTCGTGTAACACGAAAATTTGTACGTACGTACAAATTACAATAATCAAAGATTATCCAACTGAAATGAGAAAATTGATTGAAGAAAGACTTCCTCAAGATGGAGCAATGTTAAATTTCCTGATCAAGTCAGAATTGTGTAGACTATTCCGGCAGAATGAGTATTTTAACTTTCTTCCCATTTAAAGTTTTATCGACATATATCAATATAGATCACAAGTTGAAATTTATTTTTATACCTTATTAATCAGCCTCCACATGCTACTGGAATAATGCGTGAATGTGTACATAATGACGGTTTATTGAATAAATTATCTTCTAATAACTTAGAATATTACCACTGATCGCATGTAAAAAAAAAAGAAATAAATTTAGATCAAATTTTATTGTTGCACTTGAAAAAAATGATAATGATCTTGTTGAATTGTTAAATTTTTAGCTGAAGCCGCTGCTCTACATTGTCTTAGCGTTGTCAAAGAGAATAATTTAAAACCGGGAGGCATTATATCATTAATATTTTTGTCATTTGTTTGTTTAGATATTATATTAAAGTATGTTGTATTCATTGTATAAATTCTTTCTGTGTAGTAGATTGTGAAGATGATACAGTCGATATAACAATTCGTAAATTACTCGAAAAGAATGGTTAGGAGAAATAACCGAAATAATTGGTTATCCTTGCGGAAGCACGTTCGTGGACAAAGAATTTCACAAATTTATAGGAGCAAAGTTGGATTACATGCTTTATCAGAGTTTAAAATAATCATTATAAACAAATACAATATTGAGTACAACGATTCTTTTGTCACTGAATCAAATTGGAATTTAATGAAAAGCAACCAGAATGGAAGACTATTAAATTGAAATTTATTGAATTATTGCTCTAACTTGCAAGATTACGTTACTGGAGATCGAAAAATTGAAATGGAAATTGCAGGATGGAACATCGAATTAGATTTCGCTTCTGTCAAGGAAATGTTTGATCCCGATGTCAATAAAATTCTCGAATTGATTTCAGATCAATTAAAGGATTTAAAGAAAAATGCTCGGTTATATTTGGTTGGAGGGTTTGCGGAATCAGCATATTTGTTAGACAAAATTAAAGAAAATTTTAGATTTCAAGTAGACAACATTTGCGTTCCAACATTACCCATTGCAGCATTGGTTCGAGGAGGCTTTTATTATAGATGAAATGCCAACACAGTTAAAACACGTATTCTTAAATGGAATTTCGGAAAAGAAGTAGCAAGAGAGTGGATTTCCGGAAGAGATAAGAAGAAAAGAAGAACTCCAGATGGATTGATTTATACTTTTAAGTGCCTTGCAAAGCGCGGTTCAAAAGTTGATGTTAACGAACCATTCTCTAAAGTTTTCTATCCGATTAGACCAAATCAGAAATCAGTTGCTTTCAAATTTTATTCTACTGCAAGCGTAGCAAGCGTAGGTGGAAAATTTTGTGCTGACCCAGGTATGAAATATATAAAACCTTAATTAATTTACCGGATGTCCACAACTGCCGCGACCGACCAATAGAATTTTCATTGACTTTTGGTTAATTAGAATGCAAAACATCAGCATATAATAATAGAACAGGGCAATTATATAAAGAAACATTGTTAAATGTAGAAGAATAATTTATCGATATTCTTTCTAATAGCTGACAAATAAAATTACATGTACTGTACGTACGTACGAACATTCTATCCGGTATTGTACAAAAAAAGCAAATCATTCAAGTTAACATTTATGAAATTTGATTTTCCTGATCTCGAATACGTATTTTTATGTATGTAAGCTTTTTTAAAACAATTTAATTGTGGAATTTTCTTGTGTTACTTTTAAGATTTATGTTCGTACGTACGTACGTACGTAATATTTATTTAGCTTTTTGTTGCGTCACAGATGATCATGAAAGCATCCGGAAAATGTGTACCAGGTTGGTGACGTAATTCTTCTGATCTACGAATCAGCTTTCAAGATTAGGTGTAACGTAACACAATCAAGAAGATTCAAACAAACGTTCGCTCTGCCAAAAATCGCTCATAACTCAAAAATTAGCATAAGAAACCACCTTTTGAGCTCTAACAAAAAGTTTTCGTTGGACAATTTTACTATTAAAACTACTCCCCTCTAGTTCTTAACCCTGACCCTAACCCTAAACTTAACGAATTTTAAGAATTTTGTCTGCGCCACCAACCTGGTACACATTTTCCGGATGCATCATGAAATCGGATGATGGTGAAATATAGGGTCTCGATTTTAAGGTGCAAGCCCTACCAAAATCCACCTATACTCTTTACTAATAACTACCCCTAAATCCTAACTTAACTATAAAAAAAGCCGCCAAAAAAAAGGCCCCAAAAATTTTTAAAAATCTTACGTACGTACATAAAATAGATTCAAATTTCACCATCATCCGATTTCACGATCATCCGTGACATTGTTGGTGATATAACTGAATTATGCGGCGTAAAATTAATACAACATATCAAGATTATACAAGGGTCTAAGGTCGAATAACCAGGGAACATGTCTCAAAAAATTTTTTTCAACAGCGTTATTTCTCCAAATTTATTAGCGATCAAAGTAGGAAAATAATATACTAGATATCATAATTTGCCGCATAAACCACCCTGGGTCTATTTCTTTAAACTCTTCCAAAAACCAATTTAGACCACGGGTTTTGTAAAAAAACCAAACCCAAGTACAGACCCGGTCTACTATGAGGGTGTCCTATTATCATGGGGGTGGTTTATGCGGCAAATTACAAAACTTTAATATTTGCATGTTCATAAAATTTCGATAACTACTTTAAATAACGAATAAAAGCTTTTAATTTCTCGACTGTAACTTTGGATGCTACACCAGAATTGGGGATCTATATGCTACGTAAATGTAAATTTTTTCCCTACCCATAATCGTTATTTCGCGAATCGGAATAGCGATTTATTTATATGTTAATATAAATCTTTCCTTTTATAATATCCCTGTTCATTATGTGTATCGCCATACTGTATCGGTAAATTATAAAACTCTTTATAATATACATATAGACTACGCGAATTTACCAATTGTATCTGCCATCTTAGATCTTTATTTTGCAAATCAGAATAGCAATTTTGTCTAATAGTTTTTTTTATTAAAGTGTTTTATGCAAACCTATGTAATTACAAACATAGTGAATGTGGTATAGTAATGATCATTAACCAATTTTTTATAATTTGCGTTAGTGTAAATAGTAAACCAAAATTTAAATTGCAATAACTCTTGAACAAGCAAACCTACACAAATAAAATTATATTTATCTGACAATGTCTTTATTTATTTTTATTGCTTTGAGCATAGCAGAGGACGCAATTTTCATGAACTCTACCAGGGCGGCCTTCAAAAATATGGGTTCAATATGTACAAAATGCAAATATGAAATGCATGGTCAAAATTTTCATAACAAAAGCACTATAAATCAAGTGCTGATTTGTCTGCTGCCAATACGGACGCGGTATTGCATAAAATCGTAAGGTTAATGCCATGAAAGACTTAACGTAGATTTAAAAAAAAGAAAAAACGTATAGTATACTTGTACGTATAAAAAAAAAATTTTTAAAAAAAGCGTATAATATACATGCATGTATAAAAGAAATTTGACTCGGTTATACTAGTTTGTATACGTACTATTTTATAGACATATGAATTTTTTATCGATGGCTTGATCGAGTCGAAATTAATCGTATTACACGATCGATAAGAAAATTAATACGTAAAATTAATTCATTTGTTTTAATTATGATGCAATGGACAATATTTAATTATGATACAATTGACAATTAATTAATTAATGAGTAGCAATAACGAAATCAAAGAGAAAATAATCAATAAACAATATTTATTATAAGTATATAGACATTATTCAAATCAATATCGATATACAATAAAAAATCGATAATTGCCCATCCAGCCATAAAACAGGCTTCTACTTCATATATTCATGCACACTATCTCTATATTTTAATGTTAAGCATTAATAACATTTGATTTTATTATTTTCACACACATATATTATTATTTGTGCATACCTGATATTTATTCTTTAATACCATATTCACGCTCTTTAATAGCATTAGAAATTCGTAATTCCCTTAATTTTTCTTTATGTTCTGCAATTATCAACATGTGCTCTTCATATTCTAACTTTTCCGTCACTGTCATGCTGGATTCCTTGTGTTCATTATTATTTTGAAATTCTTGCAATGCTTCATCAGTTAAATCGATTACTTTGGATGTTCATTGTTTTTATTTTGTCATTTTATTGAAGAATTAACTTTAGATTGTCATTTTGCTATTTGTACAAATAAATAATTTTAATAAATATAAATATTAAAAAAAAATTTAATTTAAATACTTACTACTACGTTTAATTGCCAATTTCTTTCTTGCAATACTACCTTTATCTTGACTGCTTAAATTAACGTTGTAGTTGGCATTTATAGCAATTCTTTTAAAATTATGCATATCTAATTTTTGTCACCTAAAGAAAATAAAGTAATAAGTAATATAAAAAAATTTTATAATATAGTAATATAAACGGATGGTGCTCATTTCACCGACAATCACTTCACTGACAACTTAGTTCACTTACAATTAATTCACTGACAACTTAGTTCACTGACAATTAATTCACTGACAAATTCATTTCACTGACAATTAATTCACCAACAAATTCATTTCACCGACAATTAATTCACCGACAGCTCATTTCACAGACAAAATAATTCTGGTCATTGTTGTTAAGATCAGGCTAAATTAGAGTTAAGGAGCATGATAGAGGTTCGTTTTGATTGGTTTTCGAATGTAGATCATTGCAGATCACTAGATTAAATATGATTGGATAAGATTCACGTATCATCATATGAAATTCTTGATTTTCGGTAGTATGACAACTACCGCAGTTTCTCGTACGACAAGTAAATTTTTTTTTACGAATACATTCTTCAAGCCCTAATATATCTTTAATAACTTTAAGATCTCTATAGATCAGATAGGTTTAAGTACTTCGCCTATGCGTAAAAGTCAGAAAATATGTGAATTTTATAGTTGCTATTTAAATTTTACAGTTTTATAACTCTCTCAGTTATCTATATAACCAAGAATTTTTTTTTTTATCTGAACGATCTTTAAGCACTAAAGCATCTTTTAAGTCTTTTAGATTGTATAGATCAAACGGGCTAAGGTAGTTATTTATTCACTTTTTAGATTATATAGATCAAACGGGCTAAGGTAGTTATTTATGAACATTATTTTAAATTTGACGATTTATTCAATAGGTAAGAATTTTAGTAGTTACATCTATATATTTAGTTGGTTTACCATTTATCAATATTATCTAATGCTTTCTGTAAATCTATTACTATATCTTCGTGTATTTTATTGCATTCTTCCATATCTTCTTCATCTTGAGACTCTTCTTCGGCTCCATCACTTTTAGTCAAGATGTTAGATCCTTTTTCAAGTGTTTCTATAAATGAATCAACGTTTTTGTAAATTCCAGTTTTGTAATACTCCTTACAGTGTTGACATCCATACTCCATTCTGTTATAGCAATGTCAATGAAAACCATGACCGCAAATTAATACAGTACCACCTCTATTTTCATTTAATAGTTTATAACAGTCATCACAAAGGTCTGGTAAAGGCGGCACACCGGTACTGTAGCCTGTTGAGAGGCACATTATATCAACATCTTCACCCAAAACAGTAAGTTTATACTTCAAAGGTCTTTTTTTCATTTTCATATTCTTTTTTTTTTGATTTTTATTATCTGTAATACTAGCAAGCACGCTAATATGTTGAAAAGTTTGACGAAAATAATTTAGCAAAAACAAGGAAGTTTTGTCTACTAGGTAATTCAGAGTAGAAGGAACATACGGGTATCTTTTTTTTGCATTGAACGTTTCTTTAAATAATAATTATCCATTCGTATCTATTTTTTTTTTATTTTTATTTATATTATTAACAATATTATTATGCTGTTTAATTAATTTAAATTTTTTTTTTTTTTAACTTACCTAGGATGCATGCTTGCTGAATAATAGTTTTAGCACTATTGTCAGCTGACGTACTTGATCGTATTTTGCTATGAAAGTTTTCAACGAAATAGTCATTGAAATTCACAAGAAACATTTTAATTACATCAA